TGATTTTTCATGAAAAATGAAAATGAAATGTGAAAAATGGAAAAAAATTAAAATATAAAAAAAAAACAAAAGTTACTGAAATAAAATTACAAATTTTCAAAATCTCCCGTTCCAACTTGTAAGGGGTCGTTTGCGCTAATGGAATTGCATATTTCATCTCAAATGTCTTATTGATCCAAAATTAGGACGATGCAAAAGTTTTACCAAACAAATACCAGATTTAGGAAGTGCTTTGTTTGATTGGTTTTACTAAATTAATTTCATCGAACTAATCGAAATTTGTATAAAAAGTGAGTATCGGTTTCAGTACAGATGCAGAAATTTGTTTTTTTTTTTTTGTCTTTTGATGCTCTTTTTTTTGCCAGGACAAAGATGAAGTGGCAGCAAACGAAGTGAGTGTGGATAAGGTTACGCGCTTGATAATCTACAAATTTATTAATTCAGGCTTTTTCGATGCTCTCGAAAATATTATAGCTACGGGAAAGGCAAGTTTTTCCTAAAAATTCGGGTTTTTTTTTTCCTAAACATACTTTTGCAAGTTTTTCCTAAACGTACTTTTGAAAAACTCTTGCTTTGTTGTAGCTGGGCATCCCTCCCCGTGGTTGCTGTATGCGTGAAGTTTGTTCTTTTCCTAGCGGCGCTGACATTCGTTTCCATATCTTTTCCACATTCTTTGGAAGAAAATGCTGGATGCTGTTAACTCAGAAAATGCTTAGAAAATGTTTTTAACTTAATTTTTTTGATGATTAATCGCATGCTTTCTCATCTAATAACCATCACACGGGAAAAATATGCTAGGAGTTAATTTTATGGGAATTTTCAAAGCCATTGGACTTTGGATGAAGAAATATTTGAATCATTAGGAAGATAAGTTAGTGCCCCCTAGAGTTAAGCTCGAAAATTTTGCAAATCAATACACTTTTCGTGCTTTACTTTCTGTGAGGGATAAAGATACTTGTTAATCATCACGAATGGTTGCACATTTTCAGCAATAAGCCAGACACACACACACATACATGCATGCATGCATACATACATACATACATGCATACATACATACATACATACATACATACATACATACATACATACATACATACATATACAACATACACATACATACATACATACATACATACATACATACATACATACATACATACATACATACACACATACATGCATACATAAATACATCCACACATACATGCACATACATACATGCACATATTCCAGGAGACTATCGATAATTTATTTTTCATAGGTTTGTTTAGAAAAGGAGTGGTTTCGATCCCTTAGCTGTAAAACACCAAATGAGTGTTGAAGTGAATCGCGTAGGAATGATTTCCGTGTTGGCCGAAAAATATTTCAGATCCATCTGTGGCGCTGCTTGTTAACATGCTAAAATATGCTTAATTAGATAATTATGCCTTTATAGTTCACAGTTGGGTTCTCTAACTATGCAGCTGACAAATTTCCTAGTTGCTTTGACTAGTGCCGTATCGTAAAACCGCTGGACCGCTGACGAAGATGATGTTATTCTTGTTTTTTGAGGAGATTACCGACACAGCGATTTCTTCCGATTAAAGGATTTTGCATGCCTTTAGCACCTCCGAAATGTCCATGATGTGTTTGAGCATTATGATCACCTGGCCTCTAACTTTGCTACTTCTAAACCTTGATGGGCTACCATATCTAAATTCATTCTTACATCAGGTTATTATGTACTTTTTGTGCGTTTTTTGCAGCAATGCAATGCGAAAAACGCATATTGATGAGAGGTTGTCTGTGTGTCCGTGCGTCTGTGTGTGCACTGTCACGCACTTTCATCTCTGGACCTATAAAAGCTGCGGGGCTGAAATTTCGGGAACTTGATCTGCATGCACGTGCCGCCCCCAATCCCCAAAATGGGCGCTAAAACCCGCGTGGTACCCGCGTACGGGCCGCCAAAGTTTTTTTGGGGCCAGTTCATAATTCGGGGATCTGAGGAGCTAGAAGGCTGAAATTTTGGGAGGCCACGAAAGTTAGAAAGCTGAAATTCTAAGGGGATGTTTCCTGACAGTTCTGGCGGCCAGTCTTAGTTTGTTTAGCTGGAAGCATTTGCCGAAAAAACCGGTGCCGGTAGGAAAAATAGCTGCGGGGAACCATGCAAAAAACGCATCTTCGCACGGGCAGCCCGTACGTTGGCCAGTTATTTTTATGATGCAATTTTCGTCGTAAATTCGGGCAAATTTTAGGAGTCGGTGGTGCTTCTTGCTGTAAAACACTCCGATGGAATCCGACGCATGGTTGACGAGTATTGCGCACTGAAAGTTTACAAAATGACACTGTCTCAATTCAAAAACAGATCGGAATATGTGCAAGATGATTATCGCTTCAAAAATCCACGTCGAGTACTACGTGTCTGGGCCGAAAAGGAATTCACAAATCTGAATAGGTGAGTTTTTTTGCCACAAAACAGTACAGCAGTATTAGTAGATTACCGATGGCCCAGTTCATTTTTCGACACTGTGATAAAATTGATATTTCTGTACTTTTCACGCATCTCGGCCGCTATCACATTGCCCTTACAAGTTTGATTTTTGAACAACAAGATCATCATTTAGCACAGCAATCTCACCAAAATTGCTAGATTCTCAGTGGAAAGCTTTCAGTAACTACTGTGTTGAGCGGGTAATTAAATTTGGGTAATAGAAAATAGAAAGGTATATTAACAACGTATGAAAAAAAGAGTAAAAAGGAAGGTAGGAGATGAGAATTAAAAAATC